ACAGAAAATCGTCCAAACCCACCCCCAACAGCCATATCCATCACCGAAAAACAACCACCACACAAACACCATCACCACTACTGCACAAAACACCATTCAAACCCACCCACCACAATGTTGCTTCAACTTCTGCTTCGCCTCTTCATTACAACAGTACCACGACGGTGTCAGCCTGACAGAGTGGGTGGATCTGCTTCTCCTCTTCATTATAGTAACTCGCCTGAGTGGGTGGATCTGCTTCACCTCTTCATTACAGCAGCACCCCCTCTTCATTATAGTAGCATCGGCGACATGTGCTCCAAGCGGTGGTCTTGAAGGAGAAAATTTCATATCGAGCTGATGTGCTTCTGCCTCGATCGTCGTCGTGAGTTCGGTGATGGATATCATGGATTGTTGATTTGGGTGGTGGTCTTCGACGGTGGGCGATGGTCGAAGGTAGGCGTTGATCGAGGTGGGTAGAGAGAAATAGCGAAGATATGAAGAAAAATGGTCGACTGTGGGTAGAGAGAGAGGGTGGAGATATGAAGAGAAATTGAAGGAAAATGATTTAGGGTTTGTAGATACCTGAATTTTGATTAAAAAAAATTCTCACCTGATTTTTGTACTGAGATTTTCAAATACCTGGATCCATGTAATTTCCTCATTCAAAATTAAGAAACAATGTTTAAATTTCAAAAATCAGATTTTATTAAATTTTACTTATAAAATAATTAATTAAACATATATTTTATTAATTAAATATATTAATGTCACAATTATATACAATTTGGTCACAAATTATTTCTTAATCATAATAAAAAAATTTATAAGTCACAAATTATTTCATGGTTACAAATAAAAAAATTATATATCACAATTTATTTATCGCTTACAAATTTATCAAAATATCTAATTAATCACAAATAATTCATTGGTCACAAGTCACAAATTTTACAAGTTACAAATTATTTTCAATCACAACTTATCAAATTATTGGTTACGGCATAATTTTTTAGGTCACACATTATTTATTAGTCACAAATTATCTATTTCATTAGTCACATATTATTTATTTGTCACACATTAACTAATTTATTGGTTGCATTTAACCTAAAAATTTATGACCACCACTGCCGTCACCACCACAATCGTCACGTTGCCAACACCCCTACCACTACCCCCACTATCAACACCACCTCATCAGCACCGCCATTTGTAACCACGACCACCATCACAACATCATCAAAATCGTCACTTTACCACCACAACAAGCATCGCACAACACCAACAGATCAAATCCAAAATCGCCAAAACCCAAAATTGTCATCACCTCACCGTTGTCGTTGCCTCTACCATCGATGCCATCACCACCATTATTTTCAACAGCTACCGCAACCACCATTTCCAACCTACACTCCTTTACAAACCTATCGACAAAAAACCATCACGGTGTCGACAAACCACCGCGAAAGCCATTTGCAAACCACTACGGTCTCATCAACAACCACTATTTTCAACGCGACAACCAGTAACATTGCGCAATGCCTTTGCCGCTGCGTGCAGTGCCTACGTGGCATCACTACTGCATCGCTACTTCGAGCAGTGACGATTTGCACTCAACTCCATCATTGCTATTGTGTCATGCAGCCTACGTGCGGTGGTCATCTGTTAATGAATAGGGAGGTGTGTTGTGGAGAGAGAGAGAGATGAATTATGGGTTGAGATAAATGAGTGGATAGATTAATTTAATTTTATAATATTAATATTTAAAAAAATAAAAAATATTTGATTTGTGAATAGTGAAACCTCTTCCCTGTTTTTAGAATACTAATTTTTAAAATTAGGGTGGGGGTGTAATTTCCTCTTTTTTGCCCCCATTTATGTCTAGTGGGATTTAAGTACACTTGAATCAAAATTTAGAGGGTGTGTGTGAAATGCTTCATCTATAAAAGTTTGGGGACCTTATCTGCAAATTATCCTTTCTGTTGGTAACAGCCACGAGTTCACGGTCCTGCTATTTCCTCCTGTGCAAGAGGCAAATTCTTGAGCTTGAGCCAGTTTGATTGCAATTGTAAGCGAAATTCACAAAATTAAACCTAAATTTCATCTTTTTCTTGCAAAAGGAAGCCATTTTACAGGCATTGGAATGTGATGAGTTCCCTACTGCTACAATCGCCGGCGGTGGCTGTGGCTTCAGTGCCCCACCACCGCAGCCTTCGCCTGCCTTTGTTTAACATGCCATCGATTGACCACTACCGCCACCTAGAACAACCACAACGGCAGAGGATGAGGCGGAGGTTTGGAGGCCGCGTTTTTGTGAATAAGGAAGACACTGGCACTGAAGTGAGCGTTTCTAATTCCACTCCATCTTCCTCAGAAAAACAAGAATTAAAACAAGAACCAATACCACAAGGAGAAGACGGTGACCCCGATCCTCAGGACCTTGAAAATGTCTCCCAAATTAAAAGAGTCAGTAACATTCTTCACTTGGTTCCTAACACATTTTACAATTAGTTGTTTTATGTTCTTCATAGTCGTTTATGTATTTAGTATATTTACTAATCAAACTTTTTCATCCAGGTTTTGGAGCTTCTAAAGAAAAACAGAGACATGCTCTTCAATGAGGTAATTTCCTGCACTATCATTTTACTGTATAGCATTATGTATTACCTCTTAAGGTGGGGTATTAATTTGACAAACTATGAAAAAAATTCTATATTTTTTTGTAGGTTAAGTTAACTATATCCATTGAAGACCCCAGGGATGTTGAGAGGAGGCGTCTGCTTGGTATTGACGATGAAAATGCTCCTACCAGGGATGAATTGGCCGCTGCTTTAGTAGAAGTAATTCACATCTTTATGCACTATAGTGTACTATTATCTACAGTCAAGCCTGCATGACTTTCTACAACAGAGTGCTTTTTGTGTGGCGTTGGTTTTATAATTGTCATAGGCCTAGAGAATTCTTTACACAGTCTTGCCTTGTGGAGCTCAAACTACACATTGTTGTACAAATCATTCTTTAGGTCAGCTCATAAGGTTCATATATTAGAGTCTTCAAGACTTAGTATAGGAAAGATATGTTACTTGTTAGAAGAGACAAATTCATAAATCTGCCAAAATGAACTTTTCAATGTAAAGCGATATGCAAGCACACTTTGATCATTTGTGTGTCAAGAAATTACCTTGTTGGGATGACCAGCTGTTAGTATCATCTACTTTGCATGCATGCACATCCATTTATAATTATTATGACCATGTTTGAGTTTATGTTTGAAAGAGCTTTCGTTTTTCTTAGGTAAATGAAGGTAAAATTCCAAAAGATCGTGTTGCTTTGCAGATGCTGGCTGAAGAAATGATGCAATGGCCTAATTTAGAGGTTCTATTCTCACTGTCAACACTTGATAATTATGAAAGATCAATTGTTGTGAAGTTGCAAAGATGAACCCAATATAATATTATTGGCATTAAGGTCTATGCCCGTAAATCTGGAGTATTATTTCCTGCTGTCGAGATATGCTCATATGACCTGGGTTAACAGGGGAAACCTGTTCACAAAATTTCCCTCATGAAGTTATTTAATTGCGCGCGAGCTTGTGGAACCCACGGATATGCATACATGTGATATTTTCTGTATATAAATGTATGATTGCTTGCCAGAGAACTAAGTTCGTGAACTTATTTTTTCGTTAATCACAAGCTGTTCACCACCATCTCATCAGCCTTTTCTACATGAAACGTGCATATTAGGTCTTCGGATAAATCATGCTCATATACTGGATTCTTACCGCGTTGAGTTTTTTATTGTGAGGATTCTGTATCAGAACTATCACAAGTCCAAGGTCAGAGTATTCCTGGCAACTTGTGCATAAATAAAAAATTGCGTAGCTAAAAATCTGAATTTCAAGATCCTTGCCTATTTCTCAATGCTTGTGCACAAAGTTTCTGATTCAATAAAAGCATCTTGTGTCCATCTTCTTTCCAGTTTGATAGTGCCAAAACACATCCTATCTATCTGGACTGTATTGCTCTCTTTAATTCTCCAAGCAACATGGATATTTACTATCCCCTGACTCACTTTTGTAGATATCATTTCCGTGGTGTTTGACCTTTTTCTTTGTCCTCTTTAGCAGCTACATAGCGCACTCTGGTTTTATCCAATGTTGCCTTGTGGTCACTATAACATCCCAGACGTGGAATGGATGTCCTCAAAATGCAATTTTTTCTTTTCTTTTCGTGATTTTTTTATAGGTTGAAATAACACCAAAGAAGAAACGGCCTGGAAAATCTTTATATGCAAAAGTCACAGACGCTGGTATTGATCCAAGAGAAGCTGCCAAGAGACTAAATATTGATTGGGATACAGCTGCAGAGATTGAGGATGCTGAGGCCGATGAATTGGAAGTGCCATCAGCCGTGGTTGGTTTCTTCTCCTCACCTAGATATCATTTTATTGTGTTGACATTTTTACCTTCTTACATAAGATGAAATGAAAAGTTATAGAGGAAACTGATTGGCAAGTAGTTGTTTGAACGCAGGGATATGGAGCTTTATACTTGGTTACAGCATTTCCGGTGATTATTGGCATCTCTGTAGTGCTCATTCTATTTTATAATTCTCTCCAATAAAGAATTTTCAAAGAATGTCTCTGTTGCATTGTAATAAGTGGTTTTGGCTTTCAATAATCTACTTGAGTTTGAACATAGTAGAAATATTTTGAGTTCAATAGCCATCTCTCTGTATTTTTAGTTTCGTGTCTGTCAATTTATGATGCAGATAGAAAAGCCAATATACTATAGTTGGTAATAAATGTAATGAAAAAAGAATTTTTTTTGTACTGTCCCATATTGTATTGACTACCTTGTTTCTGAATAAATTTTTCAAGTGCAGCATTGGTACAACAGTATTTTACAAATCTACAAACCCTTATCAGTAGTTAGGCTACTTTTTCTTATTCTCGGGTGTTCCTTCATTACTTGAAAAAGAATTCGTCTCTTCGACTCCTGAATTTGTAACAATCGGCTAAAAGACTCCAAAAAATGTGGCAACAGCAAATCCTAAAAATAAAGCTCCACCCAAGTATCCAACCTGATTCAAAACAATGGTCAGATCAGATGTATACATAATTTGGAAAAAATAAAAATAAAAATCCCGGAAGATTTATTTGTTTTGTTGTTTTACCAGTTTTTCAGAAATGTAATTAGCAAGAAATGCGCCTCCGAGAATCGCAAAAGATGTAGCGAGCAGGTGTCCGACGATGGCTCCACTTGCGACTCCCCATGGAGACTGGCCAATAAAAGAAAATATAAAAACAGCTGAGAATTTTTAGACACAGAAGCACAGAATGAAACACGGGTATTATACCTGTGCTGCGCCTAGAGCAATTGTAGCAAGCATTGAGCGATCTCCCCATTCCTGAAAGCAAAAGTAGCGTGGAGAATCAACCCGTTTGTTTCAGAAAATCTAAAAACCTCAACAACTTAAGCAAGTTTAACCATTTTGGATTAACAAATTATATCAAACAAAGGCCATGACACATGCCTCAAATTGTGTGACGACTGATTAAATCTTTGAGAATTAATTGGCAACTTGAAATGCCATTGGGATCGTTTGATCTCTAGCTTAATTCCACAACCATTGTGATTTTATTTCTGTACTCCTTACAACCAAAGCAAACTCACAGGGAAAGAATGAAAGAAAGAAAGAAGAGATAGATAATGTTGCCACCTCACAACAAACTATGATTTTATGAAAAGAGTTCATGTTCATGAACTTGCAACACCAACTATTCTTTAACCGGTAAAATGGATTTTGCACTCTTTGAAATTTAAAAAGATGAAGGACAAAATAAGGTGAAAATGCTCACAGCGAAGAATACAAGGCTGAACGACTTCCACACAATTTCAAGTGGATTTGAGAGCCGCTTTGATACCTGAAAGCATCACTGATCGAAATTGTTAAAAAATAATTTAGGACAAACATTTCTTTTCACTAGGGTCGGGAAGGGGGGTGCCTAGAAAAAGGAAACCCAAGAAATATGCAATCTGGAAAGCGAAACTTAAGCTTAGGAACATAATCCCATGAGAAAGGCTTACATTTTCTTTCACAAGCTCCTCAGCTTCAACAAATTCACCACTACCTTGATCACCAGTTTTAGCTACAGTGGATGGAAGGTCCCATGCATCTTTAATTGATTTGAGGCCAAAGAACATCAAAAGTGCTATAGCAGCATATTCTCCAATTGGCAAGGCTGCATTTATATGAAAAAAGGTGAACAGAGATGTGTCATAAATTGGGACAATTTTAAAGCCAATTAGTCAGTCATTATATCCTACAAATTATTTGTTCATTGTATGTTTGTTGAGAACACGAAAATGAAACTCAGAACTCACTTGTTTGAAATTGAGCAGGTACTGAATGAAATATTCGTCCAATAATGACAGACAGGACAGTCATTAGTGATAGTGCTCCCATTGATCCCAGAAGAACCTAATCACAATTAATAGCAGTAAATTTGTCAGGATAGCATTAATGCAAATAAATTTCACTTCTAGGCAAGATGAAACAATACTTCATGCGTATCAGACATATAAATACCTACATGAAAAATACAATCAACTTATAAAATTAATTTTTCTTCTCTTGCATTCTATATTCAATATAATAATTATTTTTTTGTTTTCGGAAACACTGGGTCAGTAGCCAATCCCGTTCCTGTTCATATGAATTAACTAAAAAATAGTTGGGGCAGTTAGGGTTGGTACAAGTAAAATGTTTTAAGTAAAACTGGCTTCAGTTTTAAATGGAAACTCCTGTAGGTGCAGGGTTCTTGGGAAGATTAGAAAATGGAACACGTGACTTCTATCTATTGGAAAGAGACACATTTCAGAAAGCAGGTTACACACCAAGCGCTTATGAATAATGCTTCTAAATTTCAAGTAATCAAAGAGCCGCATAAAATCATTCCTCCTAGAGTAGCTGCCAGTACAAATAAGAGGAAGTTCAGCCATTTATGTACATTCAATGCATGTTTGATACGCAATATTAAATCATACTAGACAGTAAAATATACAAAACTTAACTTCTTTTCCTTATTGATTACTGTCAGATAGTTCCTAATCAGCATTACCAAACATGTGATCAATTTACACTACTTTTAGAGGAAAGACAGAACACAAGTACAGATTTGGATGGAGTCTTAGAGACGAAATCTCTCTGCAAATTTAGACAATTCATTTGGTTTCTCAATTCAAATTTCCGCTCCTCTTTTCAACAATAAAGCTTTTAACATGTTGACGGCGTGTTGGGTAAATTTAGCATTCAAATGTCAAAAAGAACAGAGAGCTCCCACAAAATTTAAACCAGAAACATTTCGAGCACAACTTAAGACTACTTTATATGAGAAAAATCACAAGGGAAAATAAGAAAAATTATTTACATGTTTGGTACACACTATTGAACAGGATTGGACAGCACAATCAACAAGATTTAACTTATTTTTCTTCTTTAATATTGTCCCGTAATGTCCAATCCAACTTATCAAACATGCCATATAAGTTGGAAAAACATTCACGAGAAACAATAATGTTTGGTGATTCCTTGGAATTATTAGGCCTATATCAGAGAGAGACAAAGGGAACAAGGGAGGGGGAAGGGCAAAGAAGAGTGGGGAATAATTCATACCAGTAGTTTCTTGTATTGCATAGCCAACAATGCAGCAATGAAAAATGTCTGTTAAAATGAGCATTAAAAGATTAGGTTTTATGCATATGAAGATTCAAAACGGGAGTTATCTATGAAGGCAATCTAAAGAAAATAGTATCAGTAAGAAGAAAATAAAAAGAAAAAAGATGAGACAAATACTGATATTTGAAAATTCTGTCAAAAGATTTATCTATTTATTCTGTGGCATAAAATAATCTCAGGGTTTCTTGTCTCAAAGCCTTAACTCAGAATTTAGTTGGAAATGGAAAAGAAAACTGTAAAAGACTTACTTTGCTAATTGCTTCAACTTATTCCAACTAAGCTCCTGTTTGGTAAATTAAAATCCAGATTTTAATTTAAGTCAAAGTCAACAATTTATTTTAACAACACATTTTATCGGACTCATAACTTTTCAACCACACATTTCATCAACTTTTATCAAAATATACTAAAAATTTGATTTTAATCTCAACCAAACATGGGCTAAAAATAAAAAATAAAATGGCAAGTAGAAAGAATAACAATAAAAGTAGAGCCAACTTTAGCCAACTAGGTTTCAAAGTAAAATTATAGACTTAACTCTTCCTCAAAGTCAAAATAAGAACTTATTTCCAACTTTGACCTAGAAAGTAGAAACAAAATTATTCATTATAGAACTTACTCTTTACTTATAAGTGAACTTTTTAAGCTTGGCCAAACATTCTCTTAATATATGTGGGACAAAAACAACATAGAATCGTTGTCTTTATGAGATATTTTACCTTGTCCCCAATCTCAGAAACAAATATCAAGGAGAATGCAGCTGTGAAGCCTGACTTTGCAATTGCTGCTAAGAGTGATGAAGGTCCTTTCATGAAAGCAATCAGTGAAAATACTAAAGCACATCCACATAGCACAAGAGCTATAGAGAGGAGGTACAGAATTCGATTAGGAGACTTCTCACTGCAATTCAACAAAGATATTATTAAAAGTCTTGGATTGGGATTCAGAGAACTTCTCCTTTGGTCCATGACCCCAGAAATGGCATTTATACATCAAATAACAAGGTGTCTATGCACATGCCAAGAAAGTAGAAGCAGAATAGGATGGGAGCATGTTTAGCTAAGCTTAAAAGGAAGTAAAAGTTACTTCTAAGCTTCTTTTTTACCCAAAAAAAAAATTTTCAATGAAAAGAAAAAAATCTCAGAGAACTTACTTTTCAAGAAACTATTTTCTGGAAAAGTAACTTATTCAGCTTGGCCAAAGATTCTCCATAAGCATTGGAGTCATGGCAATCTAATATTTTTCTGGGTGAATACATTAGCCTGATACTTAAATCTACTCTGAAAAAAAGAAAATAATCAAATGTTACAAGATAGGTTTTTTTGTTCCTTAGAAATGATTTGCACACATGTAATTTAACGTCAAGAAATAAGGTATCATCATTGCTACATTTTTTTCTTCTCAACCCAACATTAGTACATAGTAGCCCATTTATAGCAAAGGAATGAATCAAAAAGATAAAAGCCCGGATGAATATAGTGTACATTACCAAAAAAGGAATAGAAAAATCAAATATGTAAATTGGAATCGTGTCCTCTGACTCAAATAATCAGTCCAGTAGTAGTGTTTAGGCTCCAAAAAATCTCAACATAATTTTTCCTGACAATGCGAGGATATATAGAAGGTACTCAAAACTATAAAACTGTGACCTTGAAAAATTAATAATTGCCGCTTAAATTCATAAACTTTTTATACTAAGAATCAGTTTTTTTTCTGAAATTACTTCAAGGTTTAAGAAGAGACTCATAAACATTTATATCATCTCAATCTAAATCATTCATTGTCAAAAAATAATTCATTCTCAAAACCATTCAAAGTTGAATTTGATCATTTCAAATTATATGGAATTTAAAGGAAAGTCGCCTTTGACAATGAATTATGGTCAAACAATAACTCATTTTCATAATCATTCAAAATGAAATTGTTAATTTCAAATTGTATGGAAACTGAAGGAAACTTGCCTTTGAGACGAAATATCACTGGGTGTTCCACTGACAGAGAAACTTTGGTTATCATTTTCCGGTCTTCTTTCAGAGTCACCAGATCCTGTACCAACATTCAACGCATTTGTTTTGATAGCTCTGCGTCCTGCTTGCTTCCATTGTGACTCTCTACATTGCACTGAACAAGGAAATTATCAGTCAACACAACAATAACAAACTAAGTCTTTTCCTGATCAATTTTGGGCTGACAAAAAACAAAAACAAAGTTGTGCAGAGCATGGACCGGAACAGCTCAAATAGAATGTACACAGAAGTCAAAAGAACAATAGAAAGTATCAAATCAATTAGATCAGCGGCCCATCTAGGAATTAGACGACGACTTCTCTTTTTTCAATGTGTGAGCAGGAAGTAATTTCACAACTTCATCCATAAAACTACAACATCCATTTCTTCAAAGTCCAAACTATTATATGAACTCTACCAAAATATAGTATAACATTGTCATACAAGTAAAGACCATTTGAAGTATTGAAATATTGTCATACAAGTAAAGACCATTTGAAATATTGAGAGAGAGGTTCCACTAGTTTTCATTGTCTTTTAGCAAAAATAAATCGAACTATTGTATTTAGAAGGAAAATAATCTGCTATACAAGACAACTTCTAATGATAAATAGAATTCCAGACCTTTATGTCAGTTGAATTCTTTCAAACAACAATCCCACCTATGCACAAGCGAACCCAAATCACTCCGCGACACTGAACACAAGTAAATTCACAAGAATGCCTTTTGTTCTATACAATACACAATATCAATATAATCTCTTTCCAGTTCATCATACAACCATAAGAAGTTATCCAACTGTTTCTCACATAACAGTTCATTCACTTCAAAGAAATGATCCAAGTTCAGATCTACTCAAGAATCCACCCCAAGTTGAAAATGGAAAAGGTAAATTTTGAGGCATGAAAATAAAAGAGCAGAAAAACACCACAAAGATTCTATCTTTATCGAATTTCTAGTTGAACTCTGGGAAGACAAAAAGACCATAGAGTGGACTGATGGAGTACTTACATGAACATGAAGATGATGTAATACTTCTTCTTGGCACAAAAGAGCGAAAGGGAAATGAATTGCTCAACACGAAAAAGGGTGGAAGCTTCTTCTTGTTCCCTTTTCTCGTTGCAATTAAAATTTGGGGTGTTTGTATAGCCAGAACTTGCATTTTGCCACTATACGGAACTGTTTTCCTTACAAAATCTTGATGCCCATTACACAAAATTTGAACTTAAAATGACTGTAAAAAACTAGGAACTACCAAAGCAAAGGAGTGGACAGTTGTGATGAGTTCAAGAGCTTGAGGCGTGAAGGGGATATAGGCGTGTGTTCGGTTTGCCTTGACGGGGATCTCCTACCCTTCTGTTTCTTTTTATCCAATTCCTGCAATTACGTTTATGATCTCGAGAAGCACGACTTTTTCAGAACAATATTTTGAGTAACCTATTGCGAGTTTAGTTGAAACTAGAGGAGATTGACGGAAAACAATTGCTTTACAAGTGCAGTTGAAATCATAGTTGTCAGATTCGACCCAGACACACACTCGAACAATGCAGTGGGTCAATGGGTTAATGGCTCAACCGATGACCCGGTGGGTCATTGCGTAAAAATTTACAAAAAAATATAAAGTATAAATTTTGTTTTAGAGACAAAATTAAAATTTTTAATTCATTTTTCACTAATTATTTAAGTCTATAAAATAAAGTAAAATGTTGAATGAAAATTTTAATAAAAATATATTTTTATAAAACTTATAAATTATTTATTAAATAGATGTAAGTTATTTGCACATAAGTAATACTAAAACATTCTATCTCAAGTGGTGAGGAACTCATTATTTCTTTAGAGGTCTAATGTTCAATTCTCTTAGATCCTAAAACCCAATCAAACCGATCAACCGAGTCTGGTAAATCGTCTGTTAACTCGGTCAAAGCCGAATTTTGATCGAGTCAAGTGCATTTCAATTAAATTAATTTGTCCGGCCCGGTCAAGGGTTTGAGCCGCCGATTTTCCGGGCCGATCGTCCGGGTCCGGCTGGGTTTTATAACTATGTTCGAAACATACAATTTTGAGCCCCCAAAAAATTGTAATATATGTTAAGGACAATCCATTTGTACCACTTTTTTGTACCGAAAATGTTACACCCTCTCACATGCATGTGGGGTCCGCATAAATAAAAAAATTCCAAATGTGTGGTCCCCACACCATATTACGAGTGTAGGTAAAAAATTGAGTAATGTTATTCATCCCAAGTGGGGATGAAAACACAGTCTACATGGCTTACGTAGACCGTGTTTTCATCCCCAGTGAGAATGAATAGCATTACTCTAAAAAATTAGGTAAAAAAGTGAATGTACATGTATCATTGTCCATAGTCTTTAATTTAGTTATGGACAATTCCATTTGTACCGAATTTTTTGTACCGAAAATGTTACTCCCTCTCATATGCGCGTGGGGCCCGCATAAATAAAAAATTCTCAAATGTGTGGTCTCCACACCCTATTGTGAGTGTAGGTAAACGATTAGATAAAAAAGTGGATGTGCATGTAGCATTGTTTGTAGTCTTTAATTTAGTTATGGAGAATTTCATTTGTACCGAAAATGTTACACCCTCTCACATTCCAGTGGGGCCCGCATAAATAAAAAAATCCCAAATGTGTGGTCCACACACCCTGTTGTGAGTGTGGGTAAAAGATTAGGTAAAAAAGTAGATGTATGTGTATCATTGTCCATTAGTTATTTTCCTCTTTAATTGAGTTATTTTCCAATCAAATAGTATTTCACGTACGTAACTTCTATTGTACTATAATGGACGAACGAACCATAATCGTGTAATAAAAATAAAGTGCTAAAAGAAATAAAACCTTGTTTGGAAAGAATATATATAACGGTTTAATTCATGAATAGATAGAAATGAATGATAAATAAATATATAATATTTTGTGGATCTATTGACACGTGATATAAATCAAATAAATGTTTCTTCGAAATTTTCTCACAACTAACTAAAAATTGATAAGTAAATTTATGGATGACTTGTCAAACGCGAATGTCAATCCCTCCTCCTCCTTTCCGAAAACACACTTTTCTTGTTTTGCACTTCATGCTAATGAATAAAGTTTTGAGGTACATTTTTACCGATCATATTTTCAGCTTGTGTGGTACAAATTCTTCTAAAATTATTTTCAACTACACATTTCATTTCATCTAGAACTTTTATCCATTTTTAATTATACGTTCTTCAAAAAAATAAAATCAATTGAAAACAATATCTGTGGACGAAAGCAGGCCCGGTCCATCCAGGACTAGACTAGACTCGACAACAAAGCCCTGTTCCAAGCTGGGCCGTGACATTAACACAAGATATGGTTAGGCCTAACTTTCTCTACAAACAAAAAACACAGCCCAGCCATGTCTTGGGGTACTAGATGGGCTAGGCTGATTCAGGGCCTTCAATGTTGGACTGTATTGTCGACGTGGCATCCATGATCATGTCTGGCTTAGCAAAATTACTACAAATGTAACAAAAAATAAACCAGAAACATTTCGAGCACAACTTAAGACTACTTTATATGAGAAAAATCACAAGGGAAAATAAGAAAAATTATTTACATGTTTGGTACACACTATTGAACAGGATTGGACAGCACAATCAACAAGATTTAACTTGTTTTTCTTCTTTAATATTGTCCCGTAATGTCCAATCCAACTTATCAAACATGCCACATAAGTTGGAAAAACATTCATGAGAAACAATAATGTTTGGTGATTCCTTGGAATTATTAGGCCTATATCAGAGAGAGACAAAGGGAACAAGGGAGGGGGATGGGCAAATAAGAGGGGGGAATAATTCATACCAGTAGTTTCTTGTATTGCATAGCCAACAATGCAGCAATGAAAAATGTCTGTTAAAATGAGCATTAAAAGATTAGGTTTAATGCATATGAAGATTCACAACGGGAGTTATCTATGAAGGCAATCTAAAGAAAATAGTATCAGTAAGAAGAAAATAAAAAGAAAAAAGATGAGACAAATACTTATATTTGAAAATTCTGTCAAAAGATTTATCTATTGATTCTGTGGCATAAAATAATCTCAGGGTTTCTTGACTCAAAGCCTTAACTCAGAATTTTTGTTTGAAATGGGAAAAGAAAACTGTAAAAGACTTTCTTTGCAAATTGCTTCAACTTATTCCAACTAAGCCCCTGTTTGGTAAATTAAAATCCAGATTTTAATTTAAGTCAAAGTCAACAATTTATTTTAACAACACATTTTATCGGACCCATAACTTTTCAACCACACATTTTACCAACTTTTATCAAAATATACTAAAAATTTGATTTAATCCCCACCAAACAGGGGCTAAAAATAAAAAATAAAATGGCAACTAGAAAGAATAACAATAAAAGTAGAGCCAACTTTAGCCAACTAAGTTTCTAAGTAAAATCATAGACTTCTTTAAAATTAACTCTTCCTTAAAGTCAAAATAAATAACTTATTTCCAACTTTGACCTAGAAACAAAATTATTTATTATAGAACTTACTCTTTACTTATAAGTGAACTTTTTAAGCTTGGCCAAACATTCTCTTAATATATGTGGGACAAAAACAACATAGAAACGTTGTCTTTATGAGATATTTTACCTTGTCCCCAATCTCGGAAACAAATATCAAGGAGAATGCAGCCGTGAAGCCTGACTTTGCAATTGCTGCTAAGAGTGATGAAGGTCCTTTCATGAAAGCAATCAGTGAAAATACTAAAGCACATCCACATAGCACAAGGGCTATAGAGAGGAGATACAGAATTCGATTAGGAGACTTCTCACTGCAATTCAACAAAGAAATTAGTCTTGGATTGGGATTCAGAGAGCTTCTCCTTTGGTTCATGACCCCAGAAATGGCATTTATACATCAAATAACAAGGTGTCTATGTCTATGCACATGCCAAGAAAGTAGAAGCAGCATAGGATGGGAGCATGTTTAGCTAAGCTTAAAAGGAAGTAAAAGTTACTTCTAAGCTTCTTTTTTGCCAAAAAAATTTTAAAAGTTACTTTTCTTTTTTTACTCAGAGAACTTACTTTTCAAGAAACTATTTTCTGGAAAAGTAACTTATTCAGCTTGGCCAAAGATTCTCCATAAGCATTGGAGTCATGGCAATCTAATATTTTTCTGGGTGAATACATTAGCCTGATACTTAAATCTACTCTGAAAAAAAGAAAATAATCAAATGTTACAAGATAGGTTTTTTTGTTCCTTAGAAATGATTTGCACACATGTAATTTAATGTCAAGAAATAAGGAATGTATATAGTGTACATTACCAAAAAAGGAATAGAAAAATCAAATATGAAAATCGGAATCATGTCCTCTGACTCAAATAATCAGTCCAGTAGTAGTGTTTAGGCACCAAAAAATCTGAACATAATTTTTCCTGACAATGTGAGGATATATAGAAGGTACTCAAAACTAAAAAACTGTGACCTTGAAAAATTAATAATTACCACTTAAATTCATAAACTTTTTATACTAAGAATCAGTTTTTTTCTGAAATTACTTCGAGGTCTAAGAAGAGACTCATAAACATTTATATCATCTCAATCTAAATCATTCATTGTCAAAAAATAATTCATTCTCAAAACCGTTCAAAGTTGAATTTGATAAATTCAAATTATATGGAATTTAAAGGAAAGTCGCCTTTGACAATGAATTATGGTCAAACAATAACTCATTTTCATAATCATTCAAAATGAAATTGTTAATTTCAAATTGTATGTAAACTGAAGGAAACTTGCCTTTGAGACGAAATATCACTGGGTGTCCCACTGACATAGAAACTTTGGTTATCATTTTCCGGTCTTCTTTCAGAGTCACCAGATCCTGTACCAACATTCAATGCATTTGTTTTGATAGCTCTATGTCCTGCTTGCATCCATTGTGACTCTCTACATTGCACTGAACAAGGAAATTATCAGTCAACACAACAATAACAAACTAAGCCTTTTCCTGATCAATTTTGGGTTGACAAAAAACAAAAACAAAGTTGTGCAGAGCATGGACCGGAACGGCTCAAATAGAATGTACACAGAAGTCAAAAGAACAATAGAAAGTATCAAATCAGTTAGATCAGCGACCCATCTAGGAATTAGACGACGACTTCTATTTTTTCAATGTGTGAGCATGAATTAATTTCACAACTTCATCCATAAAACTACAACAACCATTTCTTCAAAGTCCAAACTATTATATGAACTCTACCAAAACATAGAATAACATTGTCATAAAAGTAAAGACCATTTGAAATATTGAGAGAGAGGTTCCACTAGTTTCCATTGTCTTTTAGCAAAAATAAATCGAACTATTGTATTTAGAAGGCAAATAATCTGCAATACAAGACAACTTCTAATGCTAAATAGAATTCCAGACCTTTATGTCAGTTGAATTCTTTCAAACAACAATCCCACCTCTGCACAAGTGAACCCAAATCACTCCGCGACACTGAACACAAGTAAATTCACAAGAATGCCTTTTGTTCTATACAATAAACAATATCAATATAATCTCTTTCCAGTTAATCATACAACCATAAGAAGTTATCCAACTGTTTCTCACATAACAGTTCATTCAATTCAAAGAAATGATCCAAGTTCAGATCTACTCAAGAATCCACCCCAAGTTGAAAATGGAATAGGTAAATTTTGAGGCACAAAAATAAAAGAGCAGAAAAACACCACAAAGATTCTATCTTTATGACTTTATCGAATTTCTAGTTGAACTCTGGGAAGACAAAAAGACCATAGAGTGGACTGATGGAGTACTCACATGAACATGAAGATGATGTAATACTTCTTCTTGGCACAAAAGAGCAAAAGGGAAATGAATTGCTCAACACGAAAAAGGGTGGAAGCTTCTTCTTGTTCCCTTTTCTCGTTGCAATTAAAATTTGGGGTGTTTGTACAGCCAGAACTTGCATTTTGCCACTATACGGAACTGTTATCCTTACAAAATCTTGATGCCCATTACACAAAATTTGGACTTAAAATGACAGTAAAAAACTAGGAACTACCAAAGCAAAGGAGTGGACAGTTGTGATGAGTTTAAGAGTTTGAGGTGTGAAGGCAGGGGATATAGGCGTGTGTTCGGTTTGCTTTGACGGGGATCTCCTACCCTTCTGTTTCTTTTTATCCAATTCCTGCAATTACGTTTATGCTCTCGAGAAGCACGACTTTTTCAGAACAATATTTTGAGTAACCTATTGCGAGTTTAGTTGAAACTAGAGGAGATTGACGGAAAACAATTGCTTTACAAGTACAGTCGAAACCTTAGTTGTCATACTCAATCCGGACAATACAACGGGTCAATGGATTAATGGATCAACCGATGACCCGGTGGGTCATTGCGTAAAAATTTACAAAAAAATATAAAGTATAAATTTTGTTTTAGAGGCAAAATTAAAATTTTTAATTTATTTTTCATTAATTATTTAAATCTATAAAATAAAGTAAAAGGTTGAATAAAAAATTTTAATTTTAATTTTTTTTAATAAAACTTATAAATTATTTATTAAATAGATGTAAGTAATTTGCACATAAATAATACTAAAACACTCCATCTCAAGTGGTGAGGAACTCATTATTTCTTTAGAAGTCCAATGTTCAATTCCCTTGGACCTTAAAACCCAATGAAACCGGTCAACCGGGCCAGGTAAATCGCATGTTAACTCTGTCAAAACCCAAATTTGACCGAATCAAGTGCATTTCGATTAAATTAATCTGTCTGGCTCGATAAAGGGTCCGAGCCTCTAGTTTTCCGGGTCGATCGTCCGGCTAGGGACGGGGCCGAGGACGGGTTTTATAACTATGGTTGAAACATACAATTTTGAGCCCCCAAAATATTGTAATATACGTTAAGGACAATTCCATTTGTACCAAATTTTTTGTACCGAAAATGTTACTCCCTCTCACATGTGAGTGGGGCCCGCATAAATAAAAAATTCTCAAATGTTTGGTCCTCACACCCTATTGTGAGTGTAAGTAAAATATTAAGTAAAAAAATGGATGTACATTTAGCATTTTCCGTAGTCTTTAATTCAGTTATGGACAATTCTATTTGTACTGAAAATGTTACTCCCTCTCACATGTGCATGAAGCCCGCGTAAATAAAAAATTCTCAAATGTGTGGTCCTCACACCCTATTGTGAGTGTATGTAAAAGATTAGATAAAAAAGTGGATGTGCATGTAGCATTATTCTTGGTCTTTAATTTAGTTATGGAGAATTCTATTTGTATCGAATTTTTTGTACCGAAAATGTGTGTCATTCTCACGTTCGCGTGGGGCCCGCATAAATAAAAAAATCCCAAATGTGTGGTCTTCACACCCTATTTTGAGTGTAAGTAAAGGATTAGGTAAAAAAATGAATGTATGTGTAGCATTGTCCATTAGTTTATTTTCCTCTTTAATTGAGTTATTTTCCAACCAAATAGTGGTTCACGTACGTAACTTCTATTGTACCATAATGGACGAACGAACCATTATCGTGTAATAAAAATAAAGTGCTAAAAGAAATAAAACCTTGTTTGGAAAGAATATATAACGGTTTAATTTATGAATAAATAGAAATGAATGATAAATAAGTGTATAATATTTTGTGGATCTATTGACATGTGATATAAATCAAATAAACATTACTTCGAAATTTTCTCACAACTAACAAAAAATTTATAAGTAAATTTATCGATGACTTGTCAAGGGCGAATGCCAATCCTTTTTCCTCCTTTCCAAAAACACACTTTTCTGGTTTTGCACTTCATGCTAATAAATAAAGTTTTGAGGTACATTTTTACTGATCATATTTTCAGCTTGCTTGGCACAGATTCTTCTGAAATTATTTCGAACTAAACTTTTCATTTGATCCAGAAATTTTATCCATTTTTTATTATACGTTCTTCAGGAAAAAAAGAAATCCATTGCCCATCCAGGACTAGACTAGACTAGACAACAAAGCCCTGTTCCAAGCTGGGCCGTGACATTAACACAAGATATGGTTAGGCCTAACTTTCTCTACAAACAAAAAACACAGCCCAGCCATGTCTTGGGTACTAGATGGGCTAGGCTGATTCAGGGCTTTCAATGTTGGACTGCCTTGTCGACGTGGCATCCATGATCATGTCTGGCTTAGCAAAATTACTACAAAAGTAACAAAAAAATAAAAAACTTGCTTCCTTTGGGGAGGTCGCTTCTTTTGTAGAAAAACACAAAGTAAAAAAAATACTCCGAGAAACCTTACGAGCCAATTTTGGACGAGCTTTTGACATGCTAAACTCAGTCGATCTCAAATAACACGATTCTATTTACAAACTCGAGTAAAAATGTGTTCGTTAGATCGTTAAAATAGCGAAACATATTCTTATTCAATAAATCAAAACTTCAAAAGAAATTGTGACCTACATCTTTGAATTGCAACTCAAGTCCTTCGTCTCTCACTAAAATAATTAATAAGTCCCGACTAATAAAAAATAAAACTATATTAAAATAAGAGCCTGAAAAACTAAAAACAGAAGGAAAAAAAGGTCGTCCGACTTCGAAATGCATCACATATCTTTAAAAAAATTAGAGCACAAAAATGTCAAATAAAAGATAAAACGTGAAACGTTATTTGAAATTATGTAAACATTTATAGATTTTGTAGTACCGCAAACGATTTTGGTGATATTATTGTTGTTGTAGCATTTTCCATGGTTGGTGTGGGATAGCAAAATGTGGCCCTAATGGAATATTTTTTGTTGCTTACTTGAACACAAATAATTACGTGCATTACTCTAATTCATATCAACGTTGTTGAACAATTCATCTACCTCTTTCCTTTCCCACTCTCTACCAACCCTAAATAAATAAATAAATAAATAAATAAAAAATTGAAGCATTGATTATGCGATACTCGAGAAATTTGGGGCTATATATTTTCTTGTAACATAATATAAACTAGGACCCACGACCTTTACAACATATATAAGTAGAGGTTCGCTCCAAATCCTCGACTAAAAACTGTCACTGAATTAAGCACTGCTCAAAGACATTCATTAACTTTAATCAAGAATTATTCATTAACAATAATGAGCATAAGCCAAGCAAGAAAAAGACAGACAATAATTGAAGAGGAAAAATGGAGTTGGTCTAGGTTAAAGTTTGTCACTTGCAACCAAAAGCATAGTAATGGAACTTGTATTTAGTTTATTTGTCATTGTGCTTACAATTGTTGTTTCTTCTGGGACCTTACATGGGGGGGTTTACTCATGAAGAGAAGGGTTGCTTTATTCTGGTCTGATTTGTTCAGATAAAAAATAGTTGCAAGTACAATTTTTAGCCATTAATTAGAGCAAGGAGCATGGGGTGTTCTCCTTTTTTTCTTCTTTTTCTCTTCTTTTCGTCCCTTAGCCTTTTCTCTTTTTCTTTTTGGCTGCAAAGTGTTAACCTTTTCTTGGAAGAAGACCTTTTCTAGTCTCCATGTGCCTCCATCAACTTCTGCCCCTCCTCTTCCAGTAGTGGATATCATATCATCTCATCTGATATCTATATGTATATAGATATACATAGATCATAGTATGACAATAGCAATTCGGTTCTATAGTATGACAATAGCGGAAGCTTATGGAAAAGAACAAGAATCGCACGTGAAAATTGAAACTCATGGATTCGCTCATGAATATCAAGAAAGCGAGAGTTGAGATAAATCTTTTCAGTGAATTTTATTCTAGTAAAAAACTGTGCGCCATTAAGGTTTACAACATTTAAATACGAACTCCCTACGAAACCTTTATGAAAATAATAAATATTCGGAAATATAAAAAAATTAATTTTTTCCCAAAAAAAAAAAGAATGTTGTATATCAGGGGCAAAGTCGTAGAATTTTGCCCATTGACCGTTGGCCCTTTTCACTCAAAATTGATCCAAACTTATCCAAAAATTAAATTTTCAAAAATTACCGATCTCATTTTTTATGAAATCTTCTTCTTTCTGCACTGCATCAGGTACTAATTCGTCGTATGATTATGCAAAGCATGATCATCCTATAGCTCCCAATTATCTACTAGATTTGTATTTGTTTTTATTCATGTAAAAAGTATAGTAAATACTCGATTGGTTGTTTGAAATAATGTGTGTGTATGTATATGAAAGACAAAAACATTCAAAAGAAATTTCATTGGAGATAATGATCACACGACACTGTATTTCTCGAATGCTTTTTACATTGTTATAGAGAGAATTTTGCAACGAAAAACAAACAAAAAGTGAAACCCAAAAAGATCTGTGAGTGGTAACATGTAACCCTCATCAACACTGGAAAGAATAAAGGTAACAAAGCTCCTATTTACAGCCAAAAAGCTTTCTTTGAATTGACATCTGCTTTGTGAAGAAGGATCTAAAGAGCAGTGGCATCACAGTCTTTTTACCTTGTACACCCGTTACGTCTCTCGATTAATATTATTTTCAACGTGTTCGTTCGTGTCTTTAACGAAAATCGGATATGACTTTTGTGATGATATATATATCAAAGATACGATCGTCTAGACCCTCGAGTAACTTAAGTTTTTAGATGAAATAGAAAATTACAGACAAGAAAGGGAAATGATGAATGTACGAAGATGATGGGGTCCAATAAATTGGGAATCTTGGGTGGGTTAAGGGGTAGGATGATGGGTTTGTGATAAGTGAAGAAACAGGGCATGTGAGTGGGGTGACATTACTTTAAGTCCAAAAAGAGAAGTTTCCCAGAGAGAGTCCAAAGTCAAAGCATCAAATCTTAAAGATTAAAAAACCCCTTTCCATAAAGATCCAAAACGTGCAATTATGCGTTTTTAGGCTCTATTTCACGTATACACACACACATAAAAGTATATTTACATGAGACTCGAATAACTTTTTATTATCTATTGAGGATGTCTAATTTAGTCCTTTCTATTCACTTTTTACTTTTTGATTTTAAATTAAATGGTTTAATATAGGAATAAAGCTACCGAAAAATTTAGGTTCAAGTTTCACCCAGAAAATAGTCTGCATCCCTTATAGTCATAATTCTTCCCGATAAATGTAATATTTTGATTCTCAATAATATACACAAAAATCTATTTATTTATTTATTTTCTTTATTTTATAACACATACCATAAATTTTATTTGTTGCACAGCATTAAATTGCACCAAAAGTCCTCGTTCATTGCTCATTGTGATATTTATATATCTATCAAAATATTATCTCCATATTTGGTGTGGATTAAAATTTTATTTTTTAACAGATTTTAAGAAAAATTGATTAAATGTGTGATTAAAAAGTTATGTAAATCTCATAAAATATGTAGTTAAAAGTAAAGATTGTCAACCAAGCAAAGGCTATGTTACGTGCTTTAAAATGAAGGGAAAAGTACTTTATTTCACTTTTGCATTTATTATTTTATTTTACATATCGTGGGCTCCTCTTTAGAATTTTTTAGGATAGATATCGTTATTAAAGACGAGACGTGTAAATTAATAGAAAATTGAAAATAAAAATGCATCAAAAAAGTTATAGACATAATTACTATAAAAAGTAAAGATCGATAATTTTAAGTGCAACTAATAAAAACAGTGACGTGTCTTTAACAATTTGAATTGTAAATATTCTCATATCTCTAAAATCTTTAGGTGGGTCGGTTAAATAGTATACTCCAACAGTTCCCCGAGTAAAAAAATTAGAGATGAATATTGAATAGTGAAAATTCTTTAACTCGTGAGTTATGACTCATCCGTCGTTTTCACTTTTCTTTATTTTAAAACTCTTTATTTTTTATACTCATTTAAATCGTATATTCGAAAAATTAATAAGGCCCTGTTTGATGGTCATTAATTTGAGAAAATTGAGTTTTAAATATTGATTTTTCGGATAATGTACGTATAAAAAGTGGAGGAAAGTTTTCAATTTATGTAATAAAATATTTTATTGTGTAAATGTAATTGAAAATGAATATGATAATTAAAGAGTTTTTGAAATAATTGTTGTTAAATAGAGACTAAAATATTTTTCACGTAAATACAAAACTTTTTCCTACATTTTAACTACAAATTTTCCAAAAAATTATTATTTGAAACATCATTTTTCCTCGATTTCTCCTCGCAACACAGATTATTTTCAAGATGGTTTTAAACTCTGAGTGTTTCCTTTGCAAATGATCTCTGCAAAAATGGAAAGATGCTGTGTGGTTCTTCCGTGCATTCTTCTAACACTGATTCTGATGAGTTTTATTGAATTTTGTTTGTGTCTGTTTGGCTGTTATAGATGTTGAAAGAGACGAGACTGCCATCAACCATTACAAATGTGGCACTGAAAAACATGGTGCTTTTCATTTATATTTATATGGGTTGCAGTTCAGAAACAGCAGAAGCAAAGGACTGTCCCCCCCCCCTCTCTCTCTCCAGTCTCCACCCTCTCTCTAGATTTCAAAACGTTGGTTAATAATTATGCCTTCAATGCCTGGGAGAGACTGCTCACCTCCATTTTCTGACCACCTAAGCCAACAAAGATCTTCAGATAGTCCAAACAGATAATCTATGCACCACGAAGTTTGAGACTAGACCACATATTATATTCATTAAAATACAAAATTGTTTTTTGTATTTCTTCCTAAGAACATCCAATTAAAAAAATATTTTACTTAATCAAATATTAGTACGGGATCCTTTTTTTATCAAATTCCTAAATACGTGTATGAAATTTGAAGTTAAGAACCCTGTGTGCTTTGATATTAACGGACTGCGACGAAAAAACTCGGAGATAAACAACCATAAATGGGATTTTAAATTAATATCAAGAAACCTCATGTTCTTTTAAGAAAAATGAGGGGAAACAAAAGCCTTACATTCACATTATTGTTTTTGAAATAATCAAACACTAAAAGATCTTGAATACAACCTCTCAGTTAAAGGAAGAAAAACTACATTATCTTGAATACAACAAACTTAATAAGATGATCAATTATCACTTATCAGCACGATCACCTTTCTTGATATCCCTTTCTCCTGAACCAGATGATATGTAACTCACCCCAGTGAATTTCCGTTGGGAGACAGTGTTTCCGTAACTGTACGTGAAGCTTGAAACTGCTGCTTACAAGCATGGCAAGTAACTTGTAATGTAGTTGAATTGATTTGATTTAGAGCATGTTGTTTCAAGGACAGTGCTTTCTCTAGTTCTGCTCGTGCTTGTTGTCTGATTCTTTTTGCATTGGCAAATTCTTGTTCTGCCAATTCAATCTGTCGCTTGGCCTGTTGTCTTGCATCTTCTGCATAAGCCTTTTCAGCCATGGCCAACCTAAACTGTTCCTCCGCCTGTTCTTTCAGTCGCCTCGATGGTAGCACCGCCGCAGCCATGTTTGGCTTCTCACTACTGCAAATATTTGCATTATCCATTTCGGTTTTTTCACTGATTTCTGATGATCCAATAGAGAGTTGAAGTTGAGTAGACTGATTTTCGTCCATTTTGGTTAAGAGCTGGAGCTCTAAATTGGGTGGCCTGGAATTCTTGAAATTTTTACTGGAATCACCTGCAGAAGGTCTCAAGAAATTGTTGTCCACTTTTGGATTTGGTAAAGAGAGTGGTGCAGAAAATATTGGGGTAACATTGGTGTCACTGGACGGGCTGGGGCTTGAAGCTGTTCGAGATAAACAAGCTGCAGGCTGTAAATTATTGTGCGATTCTGATCTGAGACGCCCCATGCTGCAAGAATCTTGGTGTTCAATGAAACTCTCCACCCTAAAATTAACCAAGAAATAATATTGGTGACAAATAAATGTAATGATTCTTGATGCACGGGAAAAGTAGAGCAATGAAACATATTAATTAATGACAATAAAGAAATCTCTGACGGTTCTGGATCTAATAGATAGAAATGTACTATTCAATAAAATGAAATTTTCTATGAACGCATATTCTCCCTAAAAAAAAAGAAAGAAAGAAAGAAGAAAAACACACACTGAAACAGCCCAGTAAATGCATATTTTTCATGCATGGAAAGACTTGAGAATATATTTTTTTAATACTGTAAGAAACAAGTTATGATGATCAACATTTTAATCACATCATACTGCTACTTAAAACTATTTCTGGGATACAGTCAAACACTGTTACTAAAGTAATAATAGTATTTATCAAATACATACGTACACACATTCTGGAAAAAAATAAAAGGAAAATTGACCCATGATACTGAATTTTGGGAACAGTGGATAACTATCAACAAATTGTTCCTAAATAAAGCATAACCAGAATCAGTCAAAACCTAGTTTATTATGATATTTTCCTGGCGCATTTCTTGGACTTATTGATTATAATCTGATTTGACAAGTAATATTAATAATTAATTAATGGAAATTAACCAACCTCTGCGCTGAGTACAAAAAAAATCTTGGTTCAATATGGTTGTCGAGGAAATCTTTAGTTTTTAGACCACCAAAATTTTGAATTCAAGTCGTCCTACTCATTTGAAAAACTGTAAACATGTAGGTGTTTGATAACATTTGATAATTCGAGAAAAAAAGAACCTTGAGAAGACACGGCCACAGTCACAAGAATGTCCTCTAGTTCCACAAGTTTTGAGGTGTGCCTTGTAATCAGATTGAACAGCATATCCCTTTGAACATTTCTCACAAACCCACTGTTTATGATTACTGTGTTTTCTTCTGAAATGTTTTTTGATTCCCACAAGATCACCTAAAGCATGGCAAGGATCATGATGCAAACAGCTAGGCTCGGGGCACACGAATACTCTCTTCTTTGCTATTGGTGTCTCCCTTTTTAGCAGTTTCCAAGGTACTTTATGTCTTCTTCTATGCATCTGTAAATTTTGATCTCTTTGGAACCCTTGATTGCAGATCTCACATACATATCGATCTGATTCCAATAGGGTTTTTGGTGAAAGAGATACAACTTCTGCGTCTGGATCTAGTTATATAAACAATAAAACAGCTTCATTAATTGAGTAAAACAGTCAATAAAAGTAATTATAAGTGCAATGAATTCAAGAAATTTTTTATTATATATGAACATACCTGGGGTTCCTGCAGGCCTTCTTTTCCTTTTACTACTGTTTTCATTTTCTGAGGATGTAAATGGCTCGGAAAAAGAAGAGGGATTGTTGCTGCTTAACATGGATAAGTGCTTATGGATAAGTGATAGTATAATTCTATGAAACACGAGGCCGAAAACCCAGAATAAATTCTCTCAACTCCTCAAACTTGAACACCGTAAACAAATGGAGAAATTGAGGTAGATAATAGATGAGGGGACGACAGAATATACAGCTACATCCATGGAGCAAAGAAAAATAATAATAATAAAAAAGGCTTCTTCTTTCGGTTATATAATCAGCCTTCTTTCAGCTTTTTTATAAGCTTTCAGCTTTTTTATAAGCTTTTTTCTCTCTCTTAACCCCCATCTTCTTGAAGAGAGACAGGGGGGTGGGATGGGGGGGTGGGGTTGATCCCATCAAGAAGCTATTGGACCGAAGAGAAAAAAAACTCCACATTAGAAACAAAACATATTATTTTCAAGTAAATATACAGTAAATTTGCATGCATAAATACAGGACAACTGCATATATACATACACGTTGGATTCTAAATTTTGTCATTTTTCAATAATTTTCATACATCGTAAAACTACAGTGGTTACAGTATTTTTTTGTAATTACATATTGGTCCCTGTATCTACTTCCAGGACATTCTAAGTCCCTACCTATGTCTATGTACCTACTTCGACGGATTACATGTTTGTTCTGTTGCACAGATTGTTTACTGTTAGATTGGACATTTATGTTTATCCATACAAAATAATTTTTATTTGCCCTATTTTCTAATTTTATGGAAGCATAATTAAAACTTGTCACGCTTTGGCCGGTTATCTAATTAACCAGCCAGTTTCAAGTAACAAGTCGTACATTAATTTTTATCAGTTTTTCATTCACACATTTCATCAACTTTTATCAAAAACTTTGTCAAATAATCCCTATTCCGTGAGAACTCTAAATCAATTCAAGCAGCGACAACAACTGTGGGGACTAGGATAAGAAGACCGGAAGGCGGGGAGGACGAGGAATAAGGAGAAAGTTGGTTTCATTTTTCTTTTTATTTATGTTTTCCTTTAGTTATTAAAGGCGACTGTTTAATTGTCTTGTCGGCAAAAATTCATTATTAGATGCCTGATAAGTGACAATTAACGGACATTTAGGGCCAAGAAAAGTACAAATTATAGATTCAAATGAGAAGAAATATTGAATGATAGCGTTTGTATCCTTTTTTACTGTCTTTTATATAAAAAATAATAATTTCGTAAGAAAATAGTCAATAATTACGCTAACAGAGTATTCTTCTTAAAACGACAACATAATGCATTCATTAACAAACATCTTTTCAAATGAAAAATTGATTGACAATTCACACAATGATTTAACGAATAAGTTTTATCAAGTTGGGACATCAATAAAACAGTGACAAGAACAGGAGTGTTGTCTTTTGCAAGTGGCGTTTACTGGTTGGTTGATTTAAAATGGACCCCTAAATCATCTTAATTATATACTGAAATCACAAAAAATATCTAACTCTTTTTACATTTTTTTTAATATTTAAAAATAAGGGGTTCGATTCTTTTTATATAGAAAAATTGAGAACGACCATATCGACACCGTAATTTCTTATAAGTGCACCACATTTTAATCGTGTTCTTAATATTTATTCATTGGCATAGTTATGATAACTTGTTTCAAGAGATAAAAGCACAAAGTTTAGGGTTAGGAAAACAAACTAAGATATGCTGGAGGAAGATTGATCTTGATTAAAAGTGTGTAGAACTCAATGCCAATTCGTTTATTATAAGTATCAATGGCTCGTCTACCACAGTTGTTGAAAGTAGAATTTTTAGCATTAGAGCAATTATTATATAAGCCGAAAAAAAAATTGATAAAATGTTTGATTGAATAGTTGATAAATGTTATAAATTTCATGAAATATATTGTTAAAAAATGCGAGTTTTGTTGAAGGCCACCCAAATTCCATCGTGGATTGGATGAAACGGGTGTTGAAGAGGTGAAAATATGGCTAAGTGTAAGTTGAGACAGTCGATAGGGATTGTACGCCTGGGCGTCCAAACGGAGCGTCGAGGAGTAAGAAAAGGAGAAAATTAGATTCTAGACTTGTAACTCAGTGCCTGGATGTCGATGGAGGCTTCATCACTAACGCTCGCTTTCTGCCTATCTGGGGCCTGAGCGGCGTTACGGTACTCGCTTCATGCAAGGCCGTCGCTCAAGCGATCTATTTATTCGGAAAAATATTGTTTCCTTCTTTTTACGTGATTTTTTATCCTCTTTCCACCTAAATCTATTTATTTGGATCCTATATATGCTTCACGAAATTATTGACTTCATATAGTATAGAAAACATATTGAAAGCAACATTCATTGTAATTCGCTTCATGTAGTTTATTTTTCTCTTGATTTTTTTTCCATCTTGAATTTTCAATAAATTTTAGTGTTCTTGTGTTGGCCTTTTTATTTATTTTTTATTGCCATCTTGTTTTCATCTATATTATAACAAGTTTCATGAAATATATGATTGAAAAGTAGTTTTAAAAAAAATTAAATAAATGGGGACCAAACATGGGCTAAAGAATCTAAAGAGAATTAAAAGTTTGGTCCGATACCCGAAATGAGTCCTCCTGTCTGGTGGCTGCCGGTCCAGCATGAGGGGTTGGCCGGTTGGGTCCTTTGATTCCTCCTTCATGCCATGATATCACCTCCTCACCATACATAAATTTAAAGTTCTCTTGGGTCCTATTTTTTAAAATTTATTTATTTTTAATTCATTTTAAATCACATATTTAATTGAAGTTATAATTTTTATCAACTTTTTAATCACATATTTCATCGGCTTATATCAAAATATTCTAAATCTGATTTTTAGTAAAATCGAAGGGGCTAAATGTGTGTGTGGATGAATTATTTTTAAAGATAAGGCTGAAGAAAATCTCATTGATCAACAATTTCAAGTGTCATGCACAGTATATACATTATACATACACACATATGTAGAGAGAGAAAGAGATGTCTGGTGATTATATATGAGTAGATATGGTGGGGGTGCATGATTGCTAAAGACATTCGCTTCTGCTGCTGCATGTGTGTGAGAATCCAACTCCCATCATGTCACCATTCTTTCTACATAATTAATTATTTTTTAAATACCTTCTGCCCTTTTTTCCCCCTTCTCATTATTTACCTCTCACTCTCTCGTACTAACTCTATCGAGGTACCATGAAATATAGCACATGTTTGGTTTTGATTAAAATTCAATTATTATCTCAAATTAAAGTCAACAATTAATTTTATTCTCATATTTTATGAGATCCATAACTTTTTAACCACACATTTAATCATAATCTACGAAAAATCTGATTTTAATTTATACCAAACAGAGGCATAATATTTATTTTTCATCCCCTATCTGGTTTAGGCTAAACAAAACTTTAAGTCAAAGTAAATGTACGCATCTAATGGGATTCAAAAAATTTATCGACTTTTTGACCGCATATTTCATCATCAAAATTGACAAAAAATAAAAAATAAATATAATTTTTAGTAAAACAACAGGGAATAAGGTAGGAAAATCTTGCTAGCGAGCCCTTTTGATTGGACTTTCTACTTGGATGGTTAGGTAATGGGAAAACTTGCAGTTCACATATGGGCCACAAAACCAAATACAGTCCACACGGTTTCAAATGTGTAAAATGGACTATTTAAGTATGGCCCTTGACGCTATTGGGCTAGGACGGATATGGAGCCCACCAGGGCCACCACCAAGTCTTGTCCCATTTTTTGCATTTAAAAAAAAAAGGAAAAGAGAGAGAGAGAGAGAGAGAGGGTTTGAAAATGGGGTAATAATATTTCCTAAGTCGATCCCTAAAGTATATGAAATTTCCCGATTTTGGTTTGTTTAGAATTAATCTTTCATTGATTCAAAAGTAAAAATAGAGATAGAATCTATCATGATTTGTCTTGATGAACCGATTGGTACTTTTGATACAAATGTAATACAAGGTATTCAAAAGTTTCAATTGGTGGAACATATCGACATAACCAATATGTAAAAGCTCGTGTATTTTGCATATCACGAAAAATAAGCAAGGTTATCAAGTGTCTTAAAATCTCACATTTCTTATTATATATGTACTCTAGAGTGAAAAAAAATAAAAAAATAAAATAGGTGACGTCATTATTAAATGATATTAAGGAAGTTAAAGACACTAAAAACATGCACGATCTTCATTGTAAAAGGTTGAACTCCCGTTGCCAAAAGGAATGCAATAACCTGTCGATTTTCATCAAATCGTTTCTTTTGAATCTTAGATCAATTGATGGGGAAAATACTAAGGGATTGTTTGACAAAACTTTTTAGTAGATTTTGATAAAAGTTGTTATTTAATTGTAAAAATGATAAAAAAAAAAAAATGTGAATCTTAGAAAATGTAAAATTGAAGTTTGATCAGTTCAAAAATTCGATAAAATTTTGACAGTTTTTTAAAACAATCGGCACTAAGTTCTTATTACAAAAGTCAAGTGTGAGAGTCGGACCTGGTCTCCGTAGAAATCAAATTATGGTAGAAACCCGTTACGTATAAGTGCCTCTTGTCATTGGCTATATTGTACGTTGTGAAAGGAATTTGAATTAGTGTGTAAGCAACTCCTGCGAGTGCAGTTGCTAGTACATACGTGAACTCACATGAAAAAAGATTTCATGTTTTGTTTAGACAAAAATTAGATTTTTAGTAAATTTTGATAAAAAAAAATGATAGATTGTTTGATAAAAAAGTTGTGGGTTCTATGAAATGTGTGATTAAACTTAAATGTTGACTTTTAACATAGATTTTAAATGTCAAATCTTTTAACTGAACCAAACCGGGGCAAAATGTTGCCGAGTATCTACCATCTAGTCGAGGTCGGTTATAATGCCACTTGTAAGCAATGAGATCTCAGAACTTAGAGGGTGTTTGGTTGTGAATAAAATTAGATTTTTAGTATACTGTAATAAAATTTTTTGAAATGTGTGGTTGAAAAGTTGTGGACCTATGAAAGATGTCGTTAATATTGATTGTTTGATTTT